TTAATGTCTGTGGTGCCCGCTTTGCACCATGCAAGGCCTTTAGCTCCGCTTACTTTTAACAACTCGTAGCTGTACCGATCAGGCCTAGATTACCGAAACAGCTTGCTGTCTACAGCATTGGGTATGAAGCAGATTGAATGATTTGTCGGGACAGTCTTGTTAACGTGAATTGGCCTATGTTTCCAAGAGTAAACATTATGTCTCACGGTTCTGAAGCACAAGTTGTCCTAGACTGTTATCTATTATGGATGTTCAAGTGTCGAAAGACAACAACTACTGAGTATACGAGTACTTTACATGTACTGTACATACCAAGGCAGTTCTTGAGCATAGTGGCATGAGCGTCCGTCATTCCCATCAGGAACGCCAGCACACCCGTGTCCAGCTCAAGCAGCTTGGCTTCGCTCATGCCAATGCTCTTGAAGATGCCCTCGTACTTCTCCGCCATCTCCTGCTCCACACCGGACTGGGTAATCCAACGAACCATACAACTTGGCCTTGCTGTGACTGCATGATAACAAAACAAAAATTAATACATTCCAAATATCCAATCTATCATCTCATGAATAATCCAAAATCTTTTTCTTTAGGAAAGAAAAACTACAAATCTCAAGCTATTCTTCACCATCATTATCTATAAGGACTCTGGAATTCATGAACCAGTTTTCCGGTATTCTCTCCAAATGAAATACAAGCAACCAGAACCTATGAAACATAGGGTCAAGTAGCATCACAAGGGTGGTGACAATTTCAATTAAAAAATTAAAACAAATTGTTGCATTAATCTACTTGTACGCAGAATTATGGTTGTGAATTAACCTACATGTACATTGTACTAGTTCATTACAACCTTTCAACGCCAGGAAATTTGCGCTTTTGAACAGGGAGTACGAGTAGTAATAATATAAAATACCGGTAAGAATGTAAAATACATCACAATGGAAGCGGTTGAATCCACACGAAGGAAACATATCTCTTGCTACTCGGAGGAGTGTCTTGGATCAATTTTCAGGCAACATAACAAACTGATGCCTTCAAGTGAAGCAGGACTTTAAAGATCACTACATAAAAACCTGAATACTTCACGTGAAGCAGGGCTTTAAAGATCACTACAACATAACAACCTGAATACTTCACGTGAAGCAGGGCTTTAAAGATCACTACAACATAACAACCTGAATACTTCACGTGAAGCAGGGCTTTAAAGATCACTACAACATAACAAACTGAATACTTCACGTGAAGCAGGGCTTTAAAAATCACAACATGATACACTCGCCCGCAGGTCAAGGGGCACACGCCACACAGAGAAAACAACTAACTTTACTTACCAAGCGGCACTTGATTGTCCGGCATGGCTGAAACGGGAACCGGGTCTCCAAGCGCAGGAACAGCCGTTGCCACTAGCAACATGATGGCGGCCAGCATGAAACATGGAGGCGGCATTCTGTGAGAGAGATTGATCAGTAGTCCCTGTGTGGCAGCTTACGTTGACGTAGGCCTTAACTCTTGAAAGGGATCGGAGTTCAAAATACAACTTCTGCCTGAGGAGAAAGAAACGGACTCGTTTGAAGAGAACGGCAAATGATTGCTAGTCTTTCTTCTAGGGAAATCTGAGAAATGGAGGCCACAGCAGGTACTTTTATAGTGAAAGGTCTTCACCCATTTTAAACGCTTCCATTTCTTCACATTAATTCTTTAACCTTGAACAAATTGTCATGTTGCGTGGTGATGTCTGCGGCATTCATACCTTTCATAGCTATTATTAATTCTTTACCAGTTCTATAATACAAATATGTGGATAGACATACATGCACATGTACATGTACATGTATAAACAATTACAGGTATGTCATGTACGTCATATACATGACATACCTGTAATTGTTAGTGAATAATCCACCCAGTGCAGTCCTGGCCAAAGAAATCCGACCTCATGAATCGGGAGGCTACTCGGCCCTAGCACCAAACATACCACTCTGCACACTTCAGCGCGACACTATACTGTATGTACATGTATGTAGAATATGCACTTTATTCATGAAGTTGGATTTCTCTGGCCAGAATTGTAGTCCCGGTGAAAAACTGTAGTATTGTGAATGACAACATCTCGCCGCTCGATTTAGAGATGGCAGTGGCATTGAATTGGCGGCAAGGTTCCTCATTGGCGCCGTCCATTGCGTTCATACAAGGCGAATGGTAGGTAGTTCAGTGTCGAGTCGAGTGGAATGGTAACTGTTTCGAACTCGCTGCCAACCTGGGATCACTGGGGTTAAGCAAACCTCAAATAACCAATTGTGTTATTGTTGCCGATAACGATCCAGACAGCATGAATGCGGTGGTGACACACACACTGTCATACACACACACACACACACACACACACACACACACACACACACACACACACACACACACACACACACACACACTGTCATACACACACACACACACACACACACACACGCCACACTCGCGCGTGTGCGCACATATACACACAAACACACACACACACACACACACACACACACACACACACACGCACATACTACATGGCTGCACATGCAATTTGAGCGCTTGCTTGCCAGCATAGAATGAGTAATGAGTGACAAGTGCGCCTCTGGTGATTTGCCTTTTGCGTTGACATACTCCCGCGAGGATTGACTTCCAATGAATGTTGGGCCCGCTCCCAGCTTATGTCATGGGTGTGGGTGGATGCTATTTTTATTCGTGCACTTCATTTGTCTGTCAGATAATGATTACCAAAGATGCCAGTGCCCATAGTTTTAGCTGTGTTCATAACACAGTCACGTGAGAGCCTTGTCATGGCCTTCAGCGTTCGATCGCTCTATTCACCTACACTCTAAAAGTGTTGGTATATTCATGGAGCGGATGCTTTCGTAGCCGCATCATCCGAAGACGATACGTCAATCAAATCTCTATTGGTGTAAAGACTCAATCTGCAGACAGTTAACTATTTCGACCTTGTTGGGTCTAGTCGGGGAGCGCAGAGTGACTGGTGGAACCGAGCGCAATGAAGTTTAATGAACAACAAAATATTATAATGATGCAAAGATGTGATCATTCCAATTGATCACTGTAGTCTCTACTAGTAGACGTGTTCCATTGATCTACGCTAATCGCTACTGAGTTATACAAAGACTTGCCTTTGGGCTGGTTATGAAGTCCATCGGGTCTGGAGTATTTCGGGCAAAGGCTGACCAAGTATGCAATCCGTGGGTTCACGTCCTTACCCTCAATGGGAGATAGAAGGAGAGAGAAATGGTGTGTGTTCGTGTGTATGTGTCCGCGTGTGTGTTTGTATAATGGTTTGCACGTGCGCTTGTGGTGCAACAACCTCCCAAAAACAGTCCGAACTGTTTAAAATCAGTTTTGCCCATTCATTCATCACAGACTCAGGCTTTCAGAGTAGGCTTAGATATACACTGTGCGTGCGTGTGTTTGTGTCATGGGTTTATGTATGGGTGTATGTTTGTTTGCTTGTGTGTGTGTGTGTGTGTGTGTGTGTGTGTGTGTGTGTGTGTGTGTGTGCGCGTGTGCGTGTGTGTGTGCATGTTTCCTCTGGTCCGGTGGAGGTCTTGGAGGACGGTTGTACTTTTTGGGGCTCTTGTTTCTGGCCTCCATCCGTGCTTGGTCTGGCCGTTGTGGACGGTCTGGGGTTTCCCCAGCCGTCCAGGCCACCGGTGCCTGAGGTAGGGTCTTCAGCGACAGGCGACTTGGTCGAATACGATGCCGCCACTCTCCTCGTCGCCCCCCCCCCCCTTCAGAGTCCTTCGCGAGGCCTTGCAAGCCCGCGAGTGGAGCAAACTACCGCACGAATACGACGACTTGGAATGTTCGCCCTGTTGTGGAGATTGATGGACCAGTTCAAACGGCAGCCGTGAGAGGAATCGTCTCCGATGATAAGCCGCCGGAGATGGCTCTCTCGTTGTGCTAATTAAACATGGCCCCTGACCTCTCAGCGGACTGCTGACTTTCCAATTTTGCCGCCGCTCGTCGTTCCATATTGTTGGTCCCACAAGTCCGTAATGGCAGTGTTTACCAGCACCCGGTATGTGTGTGTGTGTGTGTGTGTGTGTGTGTGTGTGTGTGTGTCCCCCATATGGTGAAGTGGTATGTGCAGCGATTTCCAATCGATAGGTTGCGGGTTCGATTCCCGACGATTATGGTCACACACGTCTTTCTTCTCTTTCTCAGACTCTTCCTGACTTTTCTTTCATTCTCCTGGGTGGTTACCAACAGCCAGTGCATGCCGGAGTATGTGGTGTGATGTGTGTGCGGGAAAAAAACTAAAAATAATAATAAAAGACCAAAAGGTAGGGATTCACTGGCCAGAAACAAGCCACTTCATAGCTGTGTGGTGTAGACCAGGCTGAATAGTGGCGGTCAATTTTTCAGCCTTGCAAGCTGTCGCATGGTGCAATCTCAGCACAAGCTGCCATGGTTTCTGCTGTGGCATCGTTATCATCACCTCCGGCGATGGTCGTCCAATGGTCCAATGGTGTGTGTGCACGGTTTTTGCTTGGTGGATTCTTTCGTGGACAGTTTTTTTGTGTGACGTGAAATTCGGCAACTGGATAACTTGTGCCCACATTTTTCTATGTTACAGTTTGTTTTCTTCCTGTATATTTTAGTCTGTCTCTGTCAGGTTGTTGTTCCAGTACAGCAGTAGTCCGTTCTGCTCCATTGTTTCATCTGTTTCGCCAAGTCTGCTAACTGATTCTCTATATTTTCCACTGCCCCTCATAGTCCACATGCTTGAGTGGAGGACGGCATGACCCGTTTGGGTAGCTGTGTCATAGTGCAGGGGCGGATCTAGGCTGTGCGAAAGGTGCTTGCGCATCCCTCGTAGGCTGGGAGCCGAAATCTGTAGAATGCCTTTTATTTTCGGGGTTTGCCACTTCAGAGGGAGGACTTGAAACTTCGCACAGAGGTAGGTAAGGGTCCCTAGAGGATGATTTGAGAACTTGGCAGTACCGAATGCAATACACCGGTATTCTAAACACCAAGAGTATTCACCGAAACTAATATTTGACGGTAGGAGTTGAAAATGGTGCAGCATTATCCACATTAATTTTTATGGAAAAGGGGTTGTTTTATGCGTAGTAGGCACATACAAGTATTTCACGAACTTGACGATTTAATGTACAGTAGTATGTACAGTAGTATATATTGAAAGGTCCCCAGCTCCCATGGTCCCATGGTTCCCAGCTCCCATGGTCCCATGGTTCCCAGCTCCCATGGTCCCATGGTCCCCAGCTCCCATGGTCCCATGGCCCCCAGCTCCCATGGTCCCATGGCCCCCAGCTCCCATGGTCCCATGGTTCCCAGCTCCCATGGTCCCATGGTCCCCAGCTCCCATGGTCCCATGGCCCCCAGCTCCCATGGTCCCATGGCCCCCAGCTCCCATGGTCCCATGGTCCCCAGCTCCCATGGTCCCATGGTCCCCAGCTCCCATGGTCCCATGGTCCCCAGCTCCCATGGTCCCATGGCCCCCAGCTCCCATGGTCCCATGGCCCCCAGCTCCCATGGTCCCATGGTCCCCAGCTCCCATGGTCCCATGGTCCCCAGCTCCCATGGTCCCATGGTCCCCAGCTCCCATGGTCCCATGGCCCCCAGCTCCCATGGTCCCATGGTCCCCAGCTCCCATGGTCCCATGGTTCCCAGCTCCCATGGTCCCATGGTCCCCAGCTCCCATGGTCCCATGGCCCCCAGCTCCCATGGTCCCATGGCCCCCAGCTCCCATGGTCCCATGGTTCCCAGCTCCCATGGTCCCATGGTCCCCAGCTCCCATGGTCCCATGGCCCCCAGCTCCCATGGTCCCATGGCCCCCAGCTCCCATGGTCCCATGGTTCCCAGCTCCCATGGTCCCATGGTCCCCAGCTCCCATGGTCCCATGGCCCCCAGCTCCCATGGTCCCATGGCCCCCAGCTCCCATGGTCCCATGGTCCCCAGCTCCCATGGTCCCATGGTCCCCAGCTCCCATGGTCCCATGGTCCCCAGCTCCCATGGTCCCATGGCCCCCAGCTCCCATGGTCCCATGGCCCCCAGCTCCCATGGTCCCATGGTCCCCAGCTCCCATGGTCCCATGGTCCCCAGCTCCCATGGTCCCATGGTCCCCAGCTCCCATGGTCCCATGGCCCCCAGCTCCCATGGTCCCATGGTCCCCAGCTCCCATGGTCCCATGGTTCCCAGCTCCCATGGTCCCATGGTCCCCAGCTCCCATGGTCCCATGGCCCCCAGCTCCCATGGTCCCATGGCCCCCAGCTCCCATGGTCCCATGGTTCCCAGCTCCCATGGTCCCATGGTCCCCAGCTCCCATGGTCCCATGGCCCCCAGCTCCCATGGTCCCATGGCCCCCAGCTCCCATGGTCCCATGGTCCCCAGCTCCCATGGTCCCATGGTCCCCAGCTCCCATGGTCCCATGGTCCCCAGCTCCCATGGTCCCATGGTTCCCAGCTCCCATTGTCCCCAACTTCCATGGTCCCCAGCTACCATGGTCCCCAGCTTCCATGGTTCCCAGCTCCCATGGTCCCCAGCTCCCATGGTCCCCAACTCCCATGGTCCCCAACTCCCATGGTCCCCAGCTCCCATGGTCCCCAGCTCCCATGGTTCCCAGCTCCCATGGTCCTCAGCTCCCATGGTCCCCAGCTCCCATGGTCCCCAGCTCCCATGGTCCACAGCTCCCATGGTCCCCAGCTCCCATGGTCCACAGCTCCCATGGTCCACAGCTCCCATGGTCCACAGCTCCCATGGTCCCCAGCTCCCATGGTTCACAGCTCGCATGGTCCACAGCTCCCATGGTCCCCAGCTCCCATGGTCCACAGCTCCCATGGTCCACAGCTCCCATGGTCCCCAGCTCCCATGGTCCCCAGCTCCCATGGTCCCCAGCTCCCATGGTCCCCAGCTCCCATGGTCCCCAGCTCCCATGGTCCCCAGCTCCCATGGTCCCCAGCTCCCATGGTCCCCAGCTCCCATGGTCCCCAACGTGCATAAATGTTGTGTGGTATCCAGCTGCGATGTTTCCAGAACCGGTATGTTTGCATAGACCATCCTGGTGAGCTGGACTGTATGGTAGGGTTGAACCACTGCCACGGTATAGAACTCAATTGTACACACCACATCGATGTTTAGTCTAGTTTAGTTTACTAGTTTTATTCCACGTTTTTTTGTTCCAAGTTTTATTCCAAGTTTTTTTAGTTTTATTCCAAACCATACCTGGCTGGAGCAGCCAATGAGCACTTGGCGTGGCGATTGAAGGGTTTTTATAGCCAACCACGGCTAGCTAGAAAAACGAATAAGAAGTTGAAAAAGTAATTCCACCTCCACCAAACACGCTCTCTGGCCGACCTCACGCACCGGGAACATGACTCCAAGTTGTAGATACCTGTACTCACAAATACTTTTCCTCCATTCAGCGCTGTTTCGACCAATATACTCGTAGGTGTCATCAGTGAAGGTTGAGAATAACGAATGGCTAGAATTAATTTGAAAGCCGTTAGTGAAATCCACCAATCTAGAGTCATACCCGTACGTCTCAAAGTAAAACTTCATTGCCTCCAAATGACTCTTCTTTAGAGGTTTGGCATTGTTCTCAGACTGCATGGGTACAACTACAAATTGGTTCTTTTCCAGGCACTGTGATGAAGCTGGAATCATATTAAAAGAGCACGAAAGGGTAAGAGTTGTGAAGGTTATTTTAAAAGGATTCATCAGTATGAGGGAAAGTTGCCAACGGAACAAATTGCCTGACGCCACCAGGTCGCGAACGAGGGACTTCCATCCCTGGCTTTTGACCGGTGATGCTCTCCCAACAGCTACAGCTACAAGGAGGACTAATTGCACTGTACGCATTTCATGTATGTCGACAATCCGTCATGTATGTGTAAAATGTTATACGATGATCGCAAGGCACACAACGAAAGGGAAAGAGAGGATTTGTTCAGAACAATTTTCTTGTTACATTCATCAGTGAATCTACATAACAATGGCACAGTGCAAGCACAGTGGAATTTCTTTATTCACAAACCGGCCCAAAAGCCGCTGCTTACCCTTTGAGAAGTCGTACGGAAAAGGAAAAGAAGAAACTTGAAGAAGCAAATATGGACTAAAATTGCGGTCTAAAGCAGGGCTTTCCTGAACGCCGCTCCGCTAGTACATGTACATGTAGTATTGAGGCAAGTGTATGACGACTTCACTTGGAGCCTCCACATGCAAAGCAAAGGTATGTCGATAGCCAGTTGAGAGCATAAATTCTCAGCATATAGAACACAAGTGCTGTATTTTCCGGAGTATAGTGCGCACTTTAGATGTGCTATTTCAAGCCCTAATTCGCAGGTGCGCACTATGCTCCGAATATGAAATGCATGTACTTCAATGCAGATTGAAGTGCGCACCCCCAATGAAGATTTGGGGTGCGCGTTATACAAAGGTGCGCTCTATACTCCGAAAATACGGTACAAGTACAAGCCCCAGAAATGTGAGTTGAGGTAATAGGTGGGAGGGTAGAAAGAAAATGCGTGGGAATAAACTTTCTGATAGCTCCAAACTCGGAAGTCAAAAACTGAAATGACAATGCAAATGACATTGTGCTGGGTCAAGTCGTGCTGGGCTGGCTGCTAGCTAACCTCACTTGCACTGCAATTTCAGTATTCCAAAACTCATTAATTTTTGATAAATTGGTACCCCCCCCCAACAACCTCACAACAAAGCAACCATGTGTTGATAGCATGTTTGCTGGGAGTGTCCATTCGAGCCCAGTGCTCAGCTAGAGCTGGCGGCGCCGGCAGCTGTAGTATAGCCGTGCGGGATCTCTTCGGCACGCCAATAAACCTATTGCAGCCACCACAGTAGGCTCGACAGCTGCAACAGGTTTACTGGCCATGCCGCGTCGTTTTCTGTGAGTGAGCATGGCTCTCCACAACAGCGAAATAAAGATGCTCGAACGCGGAACGGAAATCGCCAAATCGTGGGAAATCATGTGGGAATAGGTTTTCTGCAAGCTGAAAGCTCCAAAGTCAATACGGCGATGTGATGAAAGAGATATGGCTCAGGATATTGAAGAGCCCGTGCCCACGGGACTTGGTTATGTGCCCAAGTCATGCCCGCTCGCAGGGTCTGGCTGTTAGCTTGCTCTAGCAAGCCAACGCTTTATAGAGACAATAACGTTCTGAGTGTTTCTCTTTCGAAGACTACGGTAACCCTCCGGTAGACTTCCATTTTGTCTTTTGGCGAATCCCCCAAGAAACAATTATTACTGTGACTCGGATTTGTAAGTGTCAGTGAATGTCGAGTGCTTGGTCTAGAACGGTGGAAAGTCACCTGGTTGAGCAGTGGGCCTCGATCTTGATAGGCGTCCTTCCAGGTCCGGCGCAGCGGCGCTCCTGTGCACCGTTCAATTCCACTCTGCATGGCTTTTGCATGCACGCCAACCATTTCCAGCGCACAATCTGGTAGCAATGCAGGCAGCGCGTTTGCACGCTCAGCTGCTAATACCAGCTAGGCAGCGGCTAGCGAAAGAACCCTCGCATCACAGAACGCAACGAGCTGAGCAGGCGATGGAAGCTACAGCAGGAAACCTGTAAGCTGAGCCAATACCGGCTGTCGGTATAGCTTCCGTACATCAACAAAGTAGCAGAAGCTGAAAGGGAACGCTTTAAACCAGTGATTCACTTTATCAACACTCTGCAAAGTAACAGTTAGTTACAGGAACTCCATTGAATTGAAAGCCAACGCAACAACCTGCCCAGTCTGTCCGGTTCCAAAAATCTTTAATATCTCGAAATCATGCAGTTGCGTGATGTCCACCACTTTCTGATCGAAATCATGGTGGACAAAACAACATTGCTAAATTACACCCAGCCATTCATACATGTACGTGTGTATGTCATGACCACCCAACAATGGAGTCCATTATGGCCTCAATGGAACTGAAGCGAGCTTTCGAGATCTCCACGTCTTAGCTTTTGGTGTTCGGATACGAGGCTATTTAATAGCAAAATCCTGTAAGTGAGTTTGTCATCCAGTGGCCGTCTCATGTGCTGAGACCTCAACGGAGCTTGTGCTTCGAAGTAATTGCACTACGAAATGAAGCGTCCACTAAGCCTAAGGGGTGTAGTGGCAGTAGTTAGCGCTGCGTTCTTCGCATGCGGATTGTCCTGTGTCACCGCAGATTGTCATTTGGCAGTTGGCTCGAATCTGCTCGACCTTAAATCGGCCTTAACAGCTTATGGGGCGAGGACGGCACACGGATGCTTTGATCTTGTGAGCTCTCTTCTGGATCCATTGAATTCGAGTACGTCGACGAACGTGAGTGGCTCCGATCCTGTACGCGATACCATTGTCAGTCTGTACAACTACTCCATTTCCTTGGCATCACAAACTACTACTACTGCTAGATTGCAGAACGACACTGGTGTCAGTTGCTGGCTTGTACATGAGAGTGGAATGCGAGTGAGACAGCGGATGCAGGAATGTCGGTGCGCGAAAAGCGGCAAGCCGACTTGCCCATTGCTGTGTCTGCAGGCACACTCCCAGGACATCCTGGAGCTGGCGGAAAGAGTGCGGCTATGCCCGTACAACAATGGGAGCGCTGCAACAATGCAGAAGCTCGCGCAGGGCCTCTCACAAAGTCTACCCGCGGCTTTGCGCTTCATGCAGAAAATGCCTCATCTGCTCAAGTCCGTTAGAGGGCTTAATAATGTTATGACTAAAATTACTAGCTTGCCACAGTTGAGTCACAGTACAGCAGCGACCAATGGCAGCAAGTCCAGCGTCTCCCCAGGCGAGTATATTGTACTAGTGTGCACGGCGATCTTCCCCATTTGCGCGAAATCCGCGGCGCCAGGCGGCGGCGTAATCGAGCGCAATGTACCAGTCTGTGAATGGGTGTGTGATCGACTGGGCCGAGCCGTCGGGGTGCTGGGGTTGTTTGCCAACGCTTCGGCAATCCCAATCGTCTCTCTGGTGACGGAGGCACTCGCCGCTGGCACATGCCCTCCACGCACCTCTAAGTCCTATTCGTGCTTGCATTTAAGCAGGTCAGGCATTGGCGTTATCAACTCCAGCAGGACCCGCTCATCATCTGGTTCGCTCTGCCTAAATCTTACCTGCCCGTCGCCGCTCATTGCCACACGCAACTCAGCCAATTGGAATACAGATTTGCAAAGTGTTGTGTTTGGCGTTCACAGCCTCGTTCGCCTTGCGTTTCCCGACGCCACCTCGCCGTTCAACGGTTCGATTTTGCCATGTGGCATGGGCTGCGCAGCCATCGGAGTGTCGGAGAACAGTGCGCAAACGGGGCAAATCTTTCTCTCCGTCTTCAGCACCATCGCTGTTGTGTGTGTCACGTTCTCCGTGGTTGTCTTCGGCTTTAATCGCAAGCGTCTTGGTCAGCAATTGGTTCGACGCGTCCTGCTCGCTGTTACCATCAATGGTGGAATCGCCTCACTCCCGTTCACGTCATCAGCATACAACAATCCAGGGACACTGCTCTGCCACGATGACGGCACGATCCTGCTGAATGAGCCTGGTAAGGGAAACCCCCGCTGCCCAATCAGCGCCATCACCACCTATTTCTTTGTGACCGTGTTGTCCGGGTATTGTGTTGCGCTGGCACATTCCTGGTTCCGGCTCATCGGGGCACTGCACAAGCCTCACCTGCATCGCAAGAAGACCTCAATGGACATTTTCCACAGGACCTATCGTTACGACTTCATCTACGCAACATGCACTGTGCTACCAGCACTGATTCTCAGTACTCTCTTGCTAGTCTTGGGCGGGATCGAAGGCAACTTGATCAAGGGCGTGTGTAGCGTGACCATCGCCAAGAACTACTTTGTGATATTCTACGTGGCGTACTTCTCGCTCACCTTGCTGCTGGCCGTAGTCTTCCTGATGGCCGGTGTGCGTGCATTAAAAGCCCGGGGACAGGGCATGTCCGGGGTCGTCAACTGGATCAAGAAGGGCGGCCGCTGGTC